AATTAGCGCTGGCGCCCCGTGCTGCTCGCAGATTAAAGCAGGCTCACACTGGGCATATGTGACAGAGTCTGGAGACATCTTGGAGAGCGATCTACTGCCTGCAACATCTTCAGCATGACCAGTTTGGTAGTGGGTCAGTAATGGTCTGGGGTGGCATATCAAGAGCTGCACAGCCCTCCATGTGCTTAAAAGAGGCAGCATGGCTGCCATTATGTACTGAGATGAGATCCTCAGACCAATGGTGAGACCATATGCTGGTGTGGTTGGGCCTGAGTTCCTCCTAATGCAGAACGATGCTAGATCTCATGTGGCAGAACTGTGTCAGCAGTTCCTCCAAGATGAATGCATTGAAGCTATGGACTTGCCCACCAGTTCCACAGACCTGAATCTGTTTGAGCACAACTGGGACATTAGAGCCCTATTTACACGACCCTCTGAAAACAGTACCGAGCTTTGCTCCTTAAGGCTGTGTACACACCACTCTAGCACAGTTCTTCGCCTCCTAGTGATGATCTACGGTTCTACTGCTCTCTAGAGGTAAACAAGCAAATCAACATGGCGGCACCTGAATCGGCACCTGAATCAGGCGAAGAAGGCAGCTTTTGGTGAATTAACTTGACAGAGTCGGTTTATGGGAAGTAGATACAACAAACGATAGTCGAATCAGGGCTTACAGACACAGGAAGCAGCGACAGGAGTTGAGGTTCATCACACTACTAAGAAGAATCATCACTGGAAATCATTGGCACAGTAGGGAATCTAGTGTTTTTATGAATGTCTAAAATTTCATGATTACGGAGGCTGACATAAGGAGATGACGCCGTCTGCTCGTGCGCTCTTTGTTATCAGAGAACTGCACCAGAACTGAACAGCGCCGAGCCCTACTGATGAACTAGTACCATGTTAGCACGGTTTGGTTGTGTTTGGCGCGGCCCGGTTCAGGTCTGCATGCCATTTACACTTAACAGTTATCTCGGTTGCCGTGCTCGGACCAATCACTGCACGATCATGTTGCAAATTGGCTTCTCTAAATTCTCCTATGTGCGTGAATGGTTGTTTGTCCTGTTTGTCTCTGTGTTGCCCTGCGATAGATTGGTGACCTGTCCAGGGTGTACCCCGTCTCTCGCCCATAGACAGCTGGAGATAGGCACCAGCACCACTCGCGACCCCGCTTAGGGTAAGCTTTTAAAAAAATTGATGGACTTTGTATGATTTTGTTTTCAGCTCATTCAACTTTGTACAATTCAAGGGGAATATTTCATTGATTTAGATCTAGGATGTGTTATTTATTTGTTATTTTGTTGAGCTGTGTGTTTCTTCAGCACACAAGATACAAGCACACAAATGCTTGTATCTATTTTAACATCAGTATTCATGTCTACTCCTCCTCTTTACTGGAGCTTTGCTCACTTTTAAACACTCATAGATTCTGGTCATGTCCAGAAACTGCTCTGCAAATATTTTATGCTCTGAATGAGTCGCCCCCTGACTGCAAATGATCCAAAAATGTATCTGATTAAAATGTAAATGTGCCAACGTAGACTTTAATTTCAGTAGACCAATTAACAAATAAGAGATCAATAATTTTTAAGGCATGAGTCTATACATATTGGGTAAAAGCCAGCAGCCAGAGGAAATTAGATATTTGTAGAAAAAAAGAATACTGTTTAAATACAACCAAAGGCCCTGGTTTACAAAACAAATCTTTACCAATAGCCAAAGGAATTAAACATTGGTTGCTGATGGTGTAAAAAATAAGCCATAGGGTCCTGAGTTGTTCTGAATTGTGCTCTTAAAGCTGCAAAGTCTATCACAATAATGATATCACAAATCAGCAGTACAATACTTCTAGGCTATAATGTAACAGGTTTCAAAACTGCATCCTTGATTATTACCGGGTTCCACACCTGACAGCAGATAATGATGCCAAACATCACTGGGTTAAAAACATAAAGATGAATGAAAAAGATAGAAGTTAGGAAATATGGTTCATTGCAACTAATATGGGTATGGAAATTATTACCCAAAATACTGGACAGCATGATTTATGCAGTTTGTTATATCAGAAAGTACAATTTCAGTAATCTGGATGTATTTCCCAGCTTACTGAAATTGTATATATATATATATATATATATATATATATATATATATATATATATATATATATATATATATATATATATATATATATATATATTTATATATTTATATATATATTTATATATAATATATACAATTATTATTGAATAACAAATAAATATTACATTATTCTAATACATTTATGGAAAGATAATTTCAGATAAACAATCTATCTCTCTGTCTCTCTCTCTCTCTCTATATATATATATACATATATATATATATATATATATATATATATATATATATGTATATATGTATATATATACATATATATACATATATATATATACATACGTATATACATATATATATATATATATATATATATATATATATATATATATATATATATATATATATATATATATATATACATATATATGTATACAGGGGCGTTGCTAGGCACAAAGCTTTACTGGGGCACTGGCCCCCTAGTGCATATGCCCCTCCTTCCATACATAAATACAGACAAGCACACTGCCCAACCCTGATACATTCCTACCAAAATTACCAGTTGAGATATTAATGAGTATAAGAGCATATTTGTTTTAACAAACATGAACATTTTCAACATTGCAGCTATAAAAAATAAGACATCAACAACTTTGACAAATAAAAAGTTTCCTTATACACATTCTGACGTAATCATTAATTCCTAGGTTTTAGAGTTTTAGTTCGGGGGAAATTTTAACTCATCCTGAGCTAAGTTTACTTTTATTTTTTGAGCATTAAAGTGTACCTCCTATTTATCATTTTTGCAAAGCGGTCAATCACTTGTGACTCAGCTTAGAAAGTTCTTCCTTTTCAACTGATAAAATAGCAAGATGATGGAGCCTATCTTGTCCCATTGTGCTCCTCAGCCAAGTGTGGATCCTTCTCAACACACTGAATGACCTTTCACACCTCCAGCTGTAGACTGGGATGGTGAGGAGATCTGGATGATCTGCGTTAGTGTGGGGAACATGGTGTTATCGAGCAAGTTGAAAACACACTGCATATCCTTGATGACAAGGCTTTCTTTTTTAACCAGGAAAAGCTTTCAAACCATTTTGAATTAAATGAACGTTTGTTTTACTCCAAATTTGTCCTGGGGATGGTGGGACAACTTCACTTGTGTAGGACCATCATGCTTTCCCCCTAAGTCACTAATGTCCCCTTCTTGTTTGTGGACGCTGGTTGTTGCATCCTCATCTCCTTCATGGTCCTGTCTCTCCTGTCCTTCACCTGCCTCTTGCCTGTCAGTCACGCCTCCTCCTCCCTTTCCTACTCCAGCACCTTCATTCTCATTCTCTACAGCAAACATAAAAAAAAACGCAAATCTATAATTATGTAAATATCTATCATATTGCTTATAACGTCCCTAATGTAACTGCTTAGCTTAAATCACTAATTCATCTCGGGCTCTTACCTCCCTCTCTCATCTTGTTTTACTGCTTCCCTGTCTCTGCTTCGTGTGAGGAATTTCCTGATATCCATCTACAAACCAATGCAGTCATTTCCAGTTAGTAGCCTATAAATAAATCATGTGGTTTCACTGGGAAAATAATAAAACTGACAGGTAAGAAACGTTACCAGAACTAAAAATGCGTCGCGGCCGCACAGTGTCCCATCCAACTCAGCTGAGAGCAGCGTGTTAATTTACCTGCAGTTCATGCAGTGACATGCGCTGACGTGGGGGCGCTAATTCATCCTCAATTTGGAGTTACCAACACACTTGCTGCGCATTTGAGTAGAAATATACGTCTCCTCCCGTTGGAATCATCTAAATTGATGCATTAAAAAAATGTAATACTGTTGCAAATATTCATGAGATTTATACTGGGGCACAGCTCATTTATACTGGGGCACGTGCCCCAGTAAATGGGGTCTGGCGACGCCGATGTATGTATATATATACATATATACATATATGTATATATATATATATATATACATACATACATACATACATACATACATACATACTAGGACTGAATCATACTTTCATATTAAATAACTTGTTTTGTTTTGTGGAAATTAGTTGTTTCTTCTGGAGATTTTCCTGTGTGCATCAGTTGATTAATTGAAGTTATTAGATTAAATCACTTATAGGCTACATTTGTGGGAAGAAATGTCCAAATACGAATGAACGCATCACACCATCAGCAGATACTGAATGTGAACCCAGGTTTCAGAGTAGATGCTACTACATCTTCCTATAGCCTCCATGTAGCTGAGCAGCACAGATCAAACTTCAATGGGAACCTCTTAGCTGCTGCTTGTTTTGAAGCCTTCCCTTCCATCCGCTGTTTACTACGACTTAAAAACGCTAACTCCACCCGTCCAACTGAACCCGCCTTTTCTCCTGATAAGGTAATTACAGGAGGAAAACCGGAAGCCTCTCCATGGTAACTCCGTCACTAAGGGTTGGGGGTAAACAATGGACTAGTAGAGGGATGACTGACAGCTCGCTGCGGCGGCTTCTTCTTCCAACTCACTGCATCTATTAGCGAAATACCTCCAGAAAACTCAAACACACAGCTATATATATATGTGTGTGTGTGTGTGTGCATATATATATATATGTATATTTATATATAAACAGGTTTTCGTGTGTCTATTTTGCGCAGTTATCGTCACCATTTAAGTGTCATTTGAAGTAGAGCATGTAAACAAAGCTCAAAGCCAGCAGCTTCCTGCCACCTCTTCCTAAAACTAATTCCTCCGCAGTTCCTTTCAGGTGTCCTGCCGCTACCTGAGCACCCTGCTACATGCTGGCTATTTATTATCATCAGCATTTGTCACACCACCTCCCAGCAAAGATAAAAGCATTACAAGCAGCAGCAGAGAGAATAGAGGCTGTATTGCAGCTGTACCTCAGCTTCTCCTGCTCATCGTTGTCCTCGAAGGCGAAGTGACTGTGCTCCTGTCTGAGGAGCGGAACAGACCCACACAAATACCCAGATTTTATTCATGCAACTTGGCTGCTGTAGAAAATACTCTCTTCTTCTTTTCTTCTTTTCTCTCACAACATCCAGAATCTCCTTTTTTTTCCTGCCAGCTCTGTGTAGATCTTCAGTCCAGTGCCATATATAAAAAAAAAACTAAAGTAACTCAGCTGGTTAAAAAGTTTATTTTTTTATTATTATTATAATATGTAAATTATTAAAAGCGACGTTGGGTTGAATGAGAAGCAGAGCAGGCTTTATCCTCTCATCAACAGAAGTGCTGGATGCTGTCGGTCAGGGCGCGTGTCTCCGCCCCACAGCCGCTCGTGCGGTATTGGAGGAAATTTCTTACCACAAATGGATGCGTGATATCATCTAATAACTTCAATTACTCAACTGATGCACACAGAAAAACTATACAAAAAGATTTGTTTAAATAAAGCTACTAAATTCCATATAAACAACACATGTTATTTAATATAGGAGTCATTCATTTCTTTGATGTATATGTATGTATGTATATGTATGTCTATATCTATAAGTCTATATCCATCTATCTATCCATCTATCTATCTATCTATCTATCTATCTATCTATCTATCTATCTATCTATCTATCTATCCTATAATATATTTTTATTATTATTATTATTATTATTATTATTATGGAATAAATAGATAAATATTACATTATTATTATAGTAAATTAATGAAAAGACAATATCAGATAAACAATCTTATATATATATATATATAAAAAAAAAAAAAACTGTTTTCCCACCCCTCGTGGGGTGGTATGTGTCATCCTCAAGCTCGGGTCCTCTACCAGAGGCCTGGGAGTTTGAGGGTTCTGCGCAGTATCTTAGCTGTTCCTAGGACTGCGCTCTTCTGGACAGAGACCTCTGATGTTTTACCTGGAATCTGCTGTACCCAGATTTTATATATATATATATATATATATATATATATATATATATATATATATATATATATATATATATATATATATATATATATATATATATATATATATATATATATATATATATATATATATATATATATATATATATATATATATATATATATATATATATACATATATATATATATATATATATATACATATATATATATATATATATATATATATATATATATATATATATATATATATATATATGTATATATATATGTATAGACATATATGTACATAGATATAAAATATATAGATATGTACGTAATCTAAAACAATATGTGGCAGTTCTAGACTAAATTTACCAGGCTATGGAACAAAAATGATAATAAACACAATAGAAAAAAGTATAAGAGTATACTAAAGGTGATAATATGTTACTTTAATTTAAATAAATTGCAGAGGTATATTATGAAACTGTTCAAAGTGATAAATGAATTACACACTGAGAATTTGTCATTTCGACTAGGATCTAAGCAAAAAATGTTTCAGTTATTTTGAACTTCACACACCGAGCAGATTCTGTTAGATTGTTAATCTTTGAGATGATTGGACTCATAATAAAACCAACAATCTGCAAATCCTGTGAGACAATTGCACTTACTTCTTTAAATCATGATATTTATCTTTAAATCAAGGTTTAAAAAAAAACTTGGATTCAAAATGAATAGAAAATGAGATGATCTGCCAAAGGAAGTTGCATTTTTGCCCTTAAAATAAGATCACTACACTATCCATTTCAACCTATTTATGGATTTTTTTTCTATCTTGAAATGTAAATCATCTTATTCCATTGGTAAGTAATGCACCTACCTCCTGAAATCAAGGGCAAAAACACTTCTTTTAGGAAAGATTGACTTAGATTTGTTTGTAGTGTATGCTTTCAGAGCAGGGGCCAGGTGCAGTTCCCCGGAGCCCTGGCCCCTTTAGGCCCCTTTTATAACCACCATAAAATAAAAAGATTAAATTAAACGCTTGGTATATTTTCCTGTAGAGAAAAGTTAAGGGCCTTCCTTCCACCTCTTGCTGCTTTTATTTTTTACACTATCATTTTTTTTAATCATCAGCTGTGTATTAAGATTTTTTTATTAAATAAATAATGAGTTAGCATAATCTTTTTAAATTTTTAATTGATTGTTTTTTTTGTTTCGTTTTTTTGTTTTGCTCACAGTATTTTTCACAGTAAAATTCTTACTTCTGTGTTTTTAGGTAGACAATTTTAAGATCTGTCCAGGGACAAAAATAGCCTTTTGCCTAATTCTGGTGCATTTGCAGGAATGCTTAATAGATAAATAAATAAATATATTAAATAAATAAATAAATAAATAAATAAATAAATAAATAAATAAATAAATAAATAAATAAATAAATAAATAAATAAATAAATCTAAACCTCTGGTTTTGGTTTTAGCGGCTGACCTGACACTCACAATATGGCGGACCTTCTGGCGTACGGTTTTTAATTGGTAAACTGGATCTCTCCCGTAACCACCAGCCGGCGTCTAATTTAGGTTTTGGAGAGGAGATCAAAACTTGCTTTTTCGCCTTTCTCCAGAGTGGACCTTTTAAAATAATTGATTTACTGTTGATCATTAAATAAAAGAAAACAAAAAATAAAACACAGAGATTATAAATTTATTCTGCATGGGATTAATAGTGTTAAGCGAACTAAATGTTTTTAGTTTATACAAGACACAACACACTGAGGTAAATTTCTACTTTTTTTCGAATTCGTATTTTTTGTGTCAATATTAGTCACAGTTGATGCTCGAAAAACATTCTTCACTGAGCATTGCTGTGCTCTGGAGGATAAACCCCTCCCTCACCGGCGTGTAACTTGCGTCGTTGAAGCGTAAATGGTGCAGAGCTCTGAATCATTTCCAATCTCTTAAACATGCGCTCGTTTTTGTTCTCGAGAGAGAACAGAAAGGCGGGGTTAATCCGACAAACACCCCTTGCTAAGGGTTTAACACAGACTCCACCGAAAAAAACAAATCGAGGCGACTGTTTGGAAGCGCCTCCTTTTAGATGTCAACAAGGAATGTGCATGGATCCTGAATGGTAGCTCTTAGCAGCAGTTGGTGCTAAAGACGATCGGAAAACAGCTTGTAGAAGAAATAACCTGGATCTGTCCTTTAGTGCAACGGTGGTCAGGTAGGCAGCTGAACTCCTCTGGGTGTGTCTCCCTTTAGCTTGTTATCAAGCTAACGTTAGCTAGTTATTAAACGGCGACTAAACCTGGTTATATCTAGCAAGTTATGTTGAAAGCAGCCTTTTATTACCGCCTAATGGCGACATTATGCTAGTTAATTCTAAAGGGCAACTCAGGCAAATTAAATCCACTAGAGTAACTCAGTTCGACCTTCTTTATATATCCTGAACAATAAAGTTTATACATAATGAAGCATCAATCCTTTTAGCTTGGCAACTACAGTGCCTTGCTTAATTATTTATTACTTTAACTCACTTTTAGCTTTAAAAAAAACACACAAAGTGTATGTTTTTAGGGCTTGGAAAGTAACAAGTATCTTTAAAAAAAAAAAAAAAAAAGCTAAAAAAGTTTAATTTAATTTGTCCATTAGCCCCTTTTCTCAGATACCCTTAAATAAACTGAGTGGACCTGCCTTAGATCTCTATATCTCAGCATAAGGAGGGTTGTTAAACTACATCAGAGAGCATTTAGCATCCTTAAGACCATCAATCAACACAAACAGGTCAGAGCTAAAGCTATAAAAGCAGATATGAGTATTTAAGGAATATCTAAAGCATTAAATATCCTACAGACCACATTTTGATCCCTCATTTTAAAATGACAAGAATACTCCCAACATGTTTATCTCACCTCTTTAATTCACTTTCCTTTATTGAGAACAACACCCTGTTAACATTGTGCTTTTTTTGACAACTTATTAATCCTCTTCTTTTTTACCCCAGATATACCCTTTAACCCAAGACAGATGTGGATTGATTGATACGTCTGTCGTCAAGTCTCACAATATCCATGTGTATAATCTTCCTGAAGTTTGATCCTCGGCCTGCATCCAAAAATGCCTACAGGTAAGGCAGGAAGTAAAATAAAATCCCCAATGGTTTAATGTAAAAATGGCCAAATAGAAATGTGCTGTTAACCAGAGGAGGCTGGGCCTCCTTCTTAGTTACCCTGGAATGACTAAACCAATTCATTATGTGCCCACAAATCATGTTTAACTATTAATACGCTTTTAAGATGCTTCAAAGTAAGGCTTCATGTCTGATCAATGCAGGATATATCAGCCAGCAAGCTATAGAAGCTGAGTAACTGAAGGGTTTGTTTATATTTGTTATTGTGTAATAATATTCCAATAGTATATCATTTATTTATTGGGAGGAGCTTCTACTGATCCTGGCAGGAAGTTTAGTCCTGTAACTTTTCAAAATAGGAAATCCAACCGGTTACCTTTTTTTCCCCCACATGAAGTCGATTTCAGCTCTAAAATAATTCAGCTCTGAGAATGGCCAGAGTGAAGCAGACAGTAGACGTTATAGATTTCAGGGGAAATCAGCAGAATTACAGTCGAGGGTGATGCGTCAGAAATCATCATTCTCATTTTTTAAGTCGTAGGGAAACCGTATTTAAATGTCAAATCATTCTGGCTTAAACATGTATAGAAAAGTACTCTTTATCAGACGATATTGTCCCAAAATTTAGCAAATTTATATTACAAAAAATAAATTCTGTCTTAGAATCTGTGGGTTTTATGCAGGCCAGTTAGTTCTACGTCAGCCTGAACACCTAAATTCGGCCAATCATATATAAACGGTCATCTTTCAATCAAATGTTTTCTTGATTCATATATTGCAGGTAATATATGCAACAGTTGAAATAAGAATTATTCAGTTTACCATTGAGTTCCGTCACAGTGTTCGCAGGGATGGACGTCTGTGTCTTCGGGAGGCGTAGAGCTAACAGGACTGGCAGCGTTGTGAGGCAAGGGCTCAAGCATGTACAGCTGTAAACCTTCACCAAACCAAGCTTCTGCCGCCCTGGTGTCCTCTTCCACAACAACTCCATTCCCACTTTCCTCCTCTAAATAAAACTGATGACGGAGGAGACTCATCCATGACCTCCAAGAAAAAAACTCTCCTCCTCTTGCATGTTTCCTCTGTCCATAGCGTTCCTTGACAGTGTCGTTTCTAAGTAACCAATTTAGTGCTACTTGGTCCCAATGGAATTTCCCATTGGGAACCTACTAGCACTAAGTTGCTAACTGGTTAGCAAGATGCTTCCGACAATCCGGCCACAACAAAACTTTCTTGCAAACATTCTGCCACAACAATCCCGCCCCCTTGATAAACAACCAATCACATTCAATTTATTAACTTGTGTAAAGTCGTGCACCACTCGGGAGAATTCGAAAATGCAACAGTTGGAACGGCCGCTTCCCTACGACTTTAAAGTTGCAACCTAGATACAACTGAGAAGGAGACATAGATAGACACATTTGTACAGAACAGCAGATGAAGAAACTGCATTCATATTCTGTTTGTTATAACTCTACGGGTTTCTGGACGTAGTCAGAAATGTAAAAAGTTTAGGAAGGACATCTGAATTTGAACACCATTAAGGGATTAGTGTTACTCTCTTTAGATTTATCAGCATCTATCTGCTGTTTTTCTTTAAGCAGAACGTAACACAGAGATCAGACATCGCTGCACAGGCCAGCAGCACAACTCAAGGACAAGAAAGTAGAAAAAGATGGAAAGAATTGAAAGTAATGCCTCAGCTAGCTTGCTCTTGGTTGGAGAAAAGATGTCTGGATGGTGGGCAAAGACAGGAAATATATCTTCCTTAAAAACTGTTTTCTTTTTTAAGATAAGAGATATTTTAATCCCATTTTTTCCTAGCCTCTCTGTTGAGTCTGTCAGAAACACAATAGCTGGAGCACGGCTGCTTAAACAGGAAAAGGTAAATAGAAGCCGACTTGCTCGAGGACGCTGTTCCTTCCAGAAATAATGAGAAAGGAAGTTGCTGCCAGCAGTATATCTGTGCCAGGGGTGAGACTCAACAGAGATGGAGCCAACAGGCATTGTGACACAAAACAAGCAGAAGGTTCCAGAGTGAGAATCAGCACAATCCCTAAAGGCAGGCAAAAAAAAAAAAAAAAAACAGCAAATGACCTGATAGCTTGGTAATCCGAACAGTAACTGGTCGTATACTGTAGTCTGGGCTGATCCAGCAACGACCTAATTCTGAAGTGAAGGCACTTTATTTTATTTAGCAGTTGGTGTTTTTTTTGTCTTTATTCATTCATGATTAAAGGAGGCATTTAAAATACAGCCTGGAAGAGATTTTAGTTGCCTGCATCTCTACATACAATGCCAGAAGCATTGTATGTAGAGATGCAACGTACCGGTAATGAAAATCTGGGCTGATACTGATATTGATATTTCCATTATCAATGGAATTATTGATTCCATTTTGAAGGTGGACTTTCTCACTTCAAAATAGATTCAAACTACTTTTTACCCACTGATCACAGCAAATATAGCTGCCATTGTTATAGGCAAAGAAAGGATAGGTTAGCTCCGCCCAACGCGCATCAGACCCACTTTTCCACCGCGCAGCTGGAGCAGCAAAGATGCCTTAGAACTACACTTGTAAAAGCATGTAAAAGAATTGGAGTGAAACTTTAGATTTTGTAGTCTTTTCGCTTCACTCTGTGTACTCCGACGTCGAGGTGCTAACGTCTCTGTTAAACACTTTAAAAAACTGAAAATGGAATACGAAAGGTGGATTCTTGATTCTCGACGTTGGAGTACACAGAGTGAAGCGAAAAGACTACAACTGTGTAAACAGGCCCCATTTCCGTTTCCGGTGGCAGGGGAATATTGACTATTCCAACAGAACTCAATGGGATTTACAAAATGCTAAATAAAACACTACAGGAACGTTTTTTCTTTACGAAACTTTTTTTGGAACGTCATTGAACAGCGCTGACGACCCGGTGAGTAGCATATTTTAAAAAAAGAACGTTTAAGGTTGTTTTAAGGACATTATCGGACATGCACTATGGAAGCCATTCTGAAGCAGCCAGGGGGGGATTCTAAATGAGCCAAATAGCAGAGACAGGAGCAATTGTCAAAATTTTGGTGTCGATCATTCGATTTCATCCTGGACACTACAGAAAATGGGCTAAAAGTGTTAAAAACCGGAATTCTCCTTTAATACTCCAAAGAAACCATGATTGATGAGGGTTTTACCAAGCAGGTAGTGGATAGAGCTGCTTTAAGTTCTCCCTGCTCCCTTCTGGGAAGAGACCCGGAAGCATCCGATGCAGGTCCTGCAGATTCCAGAACAGTTTCCTCCCCACTCACTGCTGAATGCTGTATGAAATGGGGTTAAAAAAGAAAAAGCGCTGAATTTGGAACCTGTAAATCATATAACAGTCTTATGTTTACATTTGATCACTGCTGCACTTTATAAACGGAAATGTTTTGAGAGCTGTACTGAACTAATTTTCTTTTTTATAGACTCTGTGTTTACATGACAATGAAGTCTGCCTTAGTCTAAAGTCTAAGATGAATTAGAGGTGTAAGCCAGGACTTCCTGTCCAACATCAGTGTCTGACCTCACAAGTCCTTTTTCTTGGAGAAAGTCACAAGAAAGTTCTCTAAACACACAAAACTAGAGGGATTTGCAGCTATTCATAGCTGCACAGATTGGGTCGACCCAAAATGAAACGGTTTGGATTGAGAGAAGAACGAGGAGCAAACTCTTTTAGGAGTACAATGTATATTCTTGGCTTTTATTTGTTTGGGATTTGATCATGTGTTTTCAATTAAAGTTTCAGATGAGATAATTATAAAATTCTAATTATTAAAATATAATATAGCCCAACTAAAGAAAGTAAAATAAGTGGCTCCTTTCAGTAGGAGGGCTACAAGCAGTCAGTGTGGGCTATGGTGCAGTACGGAGACCTTGCTTAGCGTATTACCCTCAGAGGGAGATGGTGAACGCTCTGCCTGGATAAAGTACCCCCCCCCACGTCCCTGCCTGAGGAGAGGACGGCAGAGGTGGGCTGTGACTACTAGCTGGGACCTGGGGAAAGGTGAAATGCATGTCCTCACATATTTAGGTTTAGTCTATATATAGGAGATTATTTGCAGGAAGGACTTTTTGTCTTTGCAGATTGCAGAAAAATAAAGAATAATCAGCATTTTTAAAAACTAATTTGCAGGTTTATTAGGTTCAACTATTAAACCCTCACAGTACAACATGAGTAAAAATGTTTCTGCAGGAGTTAAATGGTTTCATAATCAGCTTAAATGACTCAGTTATTACCCACACGCTGTTATTTCTTTATCTGGAAATCCCATTTCTGCTCTGTATTGTTTTCCCCCTGATTTGGCAAGTTATCTCCACAAAACTTATTCCCCAAACAGCCAAGCAGCTCTCGGAGGTGATCGTGACTTTCTCCCCGACACAGTAGAGTTATGCTGCATGTTCCGAATCCAAGGAAAATATAAGTAAGCGTTAAACCAGCCAGAAAAAAGAAAACAGTAGCTTCCTCTCATACAGCTTTTGTAATAGCCCTGTTTAAACAGCTCTCCTTTCTTTTGAGGCGCATTTTGAACTGATGATATAATTAGGATGGTTTTCAGTTTGGTGGTTTTAGGCACAAATACTTCAATTGTTTCCAGTTTATGGAAATCGGCCTGATGAACGAGCAAACTCTACATCAAATCTTTGTTATTTATTCAACAAAAACTACCCTAAAAGCAAGAAACATTAAATATTCTTTCACTGCCTGCAAGTTAGAAAGAATCAGTCCTACCCTGGTAGATTCAGTAATCTGTGGTCCTTTATTGGGTTGTCTTTTTTCAAATATATTACATAATAGGGTTTCATCATAGTTACTTTCTATGCTTGAACCTTTTCCATCCTTGGCTGCTTTTTAGACAAACTGCATTTAAAAGTACTACAATACTGATAGACAGTCTGATAGGGATGCGAGTCATCGATTAATGACTTAATCTGAAGTTGGTTCATCTTACTTATTTGATCAAATACTCAAATA